TATTGAGGCGAGCGTCGACCATGGCAGGAACGGGCTGGTTATGGCAGGCGAGCCTCAAGGCAGCGGCGCTGCTCATGGGTCTCGCGGTCGCTCTCGTCGGCCTGGAAATCCTTTCGACGGCCTGGCTGACCATCCGGGACGGCCGCTACACCCCGGCCCGGGAACTTTTCGCCAACACCCGCAATTCATACATCCAGGACCTCACCGACGGCGGCAACTGCCGCTACGTCGACACGATGTACCCGCACCCGTACCTCGCGTTCGTCCATCATCACGACAATCCCTGCGGGGTGGCCGACGCCAACAACATCGGCCTGCTCGGCGACAACTTCCCCGTCACCCGGAATCCCGACCGCTATGTGATCCTGATCTCCGGCGGATCGGTCGCCTCCCAGCTCAGCCAGATCTACGATCCCGCCCGCCGCAGCTTTCTCGAGGAGGAGCTCAACCGCCGCTATGTCAGCCCGACCGGGAAGCCCTTCCAGGTGCTGAACGGCGCGCTCGGCGCCTGGAAGCAGCCGCAGCAGTTGATCGTGTTCTCGATCTACGGCGACTTCATTGACGCGGTCGTCACGCTCGACGGCTACAACGAACAGTATCTGATGACGCCCGGCCTCGGCGTGCGTTTCGAGATGCCGGCCGCCAACTATCTCGGCGTGAACCCGATCATCGCCAAGGACGGGTTCGGCAATCTGGCGGTGAGCTGGTTCATGGGCCGGGTCGCGGGATGGCTGGGTCAGGGAATCACCGTGAATTCCCATGCCGCCTACCTGCTGGCCGCCGCCCTCGCGGGCAAGCCGGCCGACGACAATTCAGGGTTCGGCGCCCAGACCTACAAGACCATGATGGGCCTGCCGGGCAGCATCGCCTCCTCGCCCCCCGCCTACATGGACTGGCAGATCGCGCAGTACTCGAAATACATCCGCATGATGGACATTTCGGCCCGCGAGTTCGGCATCAAGTCGATGTTCTTCCTGCAGCCGGTGCCCGCGGTCGACAAGCGACTCACGCCCGAGGAGAGCCGCAACACGCCCGACACGGCCTACGGCCAGCGCTACGTCGAGATCGTGAAGCGCCTGCTCGCGCTCAACGAGCGCAACA